GTTCACATGGAATTAAAGTATGGATGTTCATCAGAAGAACCTCAGCCAGAGAAAACTGTTCTCTTATTAAGATATTCTGATGCTCCAAAATCCAAGTTAAATATAAATTTGAGGGTAGGGAATTCCAAGATGATGCCATCAACTGTCTCGCAGTTAACAGATATTACGAGAATTTTAACTGCCTCGGAGATGTGCGGTTTTTATGTATTCTTAGCAAAATGTAAAATCCTTTATATCCCCCAGAAAATTTAAAATACCATCATCTTGTTCATGTCTACAGAGAATATACTTTGGTTTCAATGTGGGCTGTCCAGTTTGATTTGGCACTTGATGCACAAAAACATATCAGAGAATGAACTGTTGTGGTATAACTTAGACCACAAGGGAAGGGACCTACTTCTGAACTCAGGCCAGCTGGCGTGAAATTGCACAAAGTTTTATCCAACAAATGTCTCCATCAAGACAACCAGCATTAAAACCATCAAAAACGCAAAGGTATATCCAGCCTCAGTTCCTGAGTCAATATCAAAATCTACCTCCAAATATGTAGGTCTTCCTTGTACCGATGAGCCACTGCTTGCTTATCCCAGTTAAGTGTTTTATCTTTTAACAGTTGTTCCCAGCTCTATTTTAATTCAAACTAGAATCATTCTGCCATCATGATGAATTAGCAGTGCTCAATCAAATGTGTATTTGAACATTATTTTTATAATCCCCTTCAGACCAGACATCCTAATAGGTCCATGGCTATAAAACCCTGAATTTGTGTAATCCCCTACTCCAGTAGCTCTGAGGGTGTTTTCTAACTGTTACCAGCTATCACAGACTTACCCATTCGTAAAGTTTGATTGACTGCATTTTCATTCATCTGTGTATCAACAGATGTTTCTTATGATACCTACTGGTTTCAGGCACTGTGCTAGGAACTGGGGACAAATAAGTCACAGCCACTGACCTCAAGAAATGCAGAAGACAGAGAAGTAAGTGAGCAATTACAGCTTGTAAAGGGGTTAACACATACGAGCAGAGAGGGTGCCAGAGACAGTAAGGGGAAGTGGGAAATGCTACACAGAAGACAATGAATATTTTATTAAGCTGTGTTTAAAATGTGAGATGTTATCAGGCTGAGTAGATGGCTCAGTGGATAATGAGTTTGCTATGCAAGCATGAGGACTTGAGTTCAGATCTCCAGAGCCCATGTAGAATCTGGGCACAGAGGAGAATATACATAACCAAAGCCAAGGGTAGTGGGTAGACAGATTCTTGGGACTCACTGGCCAGCTAGCCTAAGCTATTTGTAAGTTTCCATTTCATTGAGAGATCCTGTCTCAAAAAATAAAGTGTAGAGCAGTAGAGAAAGAATCTGACCTTGATCTCTGGCCTCCACCTGTATGTGCATGTGTCAGCATTGCAGTCATTAAGAAAACAAGGAATAGAGCCTTTGATATGGCTCAGCAGGTAAAGGCATTTAGCACCAAACCTGACCTGATAATGTGAATTCCATTCCCGGAATCCACTTGGTGGAAGGGGACAAACAACTCCCACAAGTGATCCTCTGACTTGCAAAAGTTCAGAGAGGGACATGCTGGGACCTGAAGTCAGAAACACAAATCAAGAAGATCATGAAGACTATAGAAGAGAAACTCCCTTGAGTGAGTCCCCAAAGGTTTTAACTAGGGCACCAGCAAGACCAGATAACTCTTCAGAAAGTAGTCCTGTGGGACTGAGGATGGACTTGGACTGGGCCAGAGAGAAGCAAGACTACTGGTCACAGAGAAAGCAGTTAGGAGCCTGTGCATTGGTCCTGGTTGAGTTCACAAGGGTATGCAGCAGACAGTGGACGGGACAAGGGTTCACGATAGACACTTAACAGGGAGCACAGGAGGACTCGCTGATTTATATGAAGGCTTGAGGAAAGAGGAAAGAGATGGATGGCCACCACTCCTTCATTTCTCAGGACCTTGAGTCTGGGAAATGTCACTTACTATTCCTGATGGTAAAGCATCCGTTTAGATATGAAAAGCTCACTCTTGAGGTCAATGAACTTGAACCGCGGCATGAATAGAAGTGAAAGTGGCCCCTGGAATTGTAATGATCCACTTCACCATCACCAGGCAGAGAATGATGTTAGTAATCGCAACAATGTGTGAAGGGAAGAGGCAATCCCTGGGGAAGAAGGAGCGTTGGTTGTCGTGAGTTCCAATTTGAGTAACTTCCCACTGAGTGGAATCTTATGTTTAGATGAAGACGCCCATAAGAAGTTTATTAAGTGGATCTGTGACTCCCAGGAAAGTTTTTGATACAGATGTGTGAGATCAGAGCAACAGTGACAGTTGAAGTCACATGGCTAATCTTTAGAAACTTATCAGACTAGACAATAGAGCATGCCATTGACTACTATGGCCCTTACCCCATGCTTAGACAGCGCTGCCACGTGACCCTCAGTGGAGCTGCTGCTGCCGCCGCTGCCGCTGCTACGGCTGCTGTTCACGCTGTTCACCCGGCTTGGGGTGAAGAGCCCCCTGCCTCGGTGATGCCTGAGGGCCGTAAGCACTATGGTCATGCCTGGGATGCAGACATCCGGGTGGCGTACTGCATCCTAGAGCTTGAGCAGGTCCTGTCCCCAGACATGCTGCCTCTGAACAAAAAGATATCCAAGAAGAAGAATGTTAATTTTCTGGATTAAGTGTCCTAGAAAGACCTCCGTGGTCCATGCGGCTGCTGCAGGTCGTGTTCATGTCCATGATCCGTGATGCTGCGGGCTGCTATGGGACAGGAAGCGTTTGTTTGTTTGTTTGTTTGTTTGTTTGTTTGTTTTGCAGTGGTCGATGACTACAGACTCAGAACTGAGAATAAGAAACATTAGAGGCTTCTGGGACAATGTCTCCACCTTGCCCCTCCCCAAAAGAAACAAGAAGCCATTGTAGAGAGTCCTTAAAAACAGTTGATGGCCTCTGGTGGGGCGCGATAGGGTGGGAAGAACTAGGTTTTTTAACTGGCCACTGGGAGTTTGACCGTGCTCCAGTGAGTATACAGACAACACAAATTGAACTTGATGTTATTTGCAGTTGGGACTGTGGGCCTGGGAGGAATGGGAAGCCAGTGTGATTGGGTACATCGTACAAAATTCCCAAATAATTAATAAAAATATTAAGTTTGGAAAAAAGAGAGATTCCAAGGTATATCTAAGTTTGTGTCAAGTTGACAAAAACTAGCCAGCTCTGTGGCAAATTAAAGGGTTTCCTGTGATATTCACTGAAAATTACAATGAGGTAAGTTTTAAATGTGAATTAACTTGGCAGAAGGGAACACAAGTGTTCCAGGTGTGAGAAATAGGATGTGTAAAACACTTGAGGCAGAGAGAATGCTGGCATATCCCATGATGTGAAAGCAAGCCAATGAGAAAACAGGAACATGTGGAAACATGGCTAAATATCAAGTCAAGATAGAAAGCCCCTTGCTTGGGAAAACAGAAATATAGAATCCATGCTACCTGAGGGTCAGGTCCATTATTTACGGCATAAAACTAAGTTTTCTACAGACAAATAAAATCAACACTAGAAACTTCTTTGAATTCCACTGACCTCCCACCTACCCAGTTCCACAAAGGCATGTTCCTCATAGAGGAGTCGGGAACCAACCCCCCAAGATAGACTTGAATATTGTAACCAGTAAGCAATGTGAGTACTACAGAAGACTGTGCTGTTTTCACCAGCACTTAAGGGTCTTGTGTATGTGAGTCACTCAAGGTTCAGGAATAAAAAAATGATTACAATTATTTCCCTACTCAAATCCAGAAGGGGTGTGTACCTTCATTCTGGACCCCATGGCCTCATGATTTCTTTGTCATCAATACCCAACCTCTAATGGGACCCAACTATTAAGATATAAGCTTTCATCTAGAGTCACTTTCAAGAAAACAAAACCCCAAGATGGAACCTGCAGAATGCCAACCAGAATAATTAGTGCCACACTTCTATTCCTGTCGACTCTGAGTGTGAGTGTGATTGTAGCCATTTTCTCAAAAATTGCTCGTCTTAGCTAGCCTATGCACATGAACCCACTCGAGCCAAAGGTGGCAGCTGTTACACATCTACAAGAAGCTTATACACTGTTGGGAGCATTTCAGTTTGTTTATGGATGAGGCAAAATACAACCTAAAACAATGTGTCATGCCCTCCAGTTTCTGGAAACTTCTAGAAGGTCTTTTGTTTCAGCTAATGTTTGCAGCTAATGTTAACATCTTTTGTCCTCATGATCCCACATAGATCTTTCTCTTCATTCTGCACCAACAGGCAACACTGGGGTTCTAAAAGCTCCCAAGACTAGTTCCAGGGAGTGACAAGTCCCAAAAGGCAAAGTATATGAATTAGCTGGTGCTCCTCCTCAATATCTCTGGTGAAAAACTGTCACCGTGGCTGGGAAATAGCAGAACCCATTGTAATGAAATGCTTAAGATTAACCCCAAAGTATGCCTTGAATATTGTGGCAGCACTGTGGATTCTAATTGCTGTCTAAAAGCATCATTGCAGCCTAAGTGCTGGTATTAGACAAGGGTGCACTCTGTCCAATGTAGTTTGGCTGCAATTGAAAGTATCATTAAAAACTTTCTTAATGGGATGCAAAAAAAAAACACCTTAGAAGACAAAAGGTGTGTTTGACCCTCCAGCTGTGACGCCACACTGAGTGAGAAGAAGTGAGGCCACACTGAGGGATGACTCCACACTGAGGGAGAAGCAACCAGGTCTAGATAGGAAAGAGCGGATTTGAAGGCAAAAGTGCAGAGAGCCTTCTCCAGTTCCAAGTCTAAGGCTGCCTGACTTCAAGCTGTGTCAACCACACTCTGAGATAGCATCAGCTGTCCCCACTTTTCCCACCCAACAATTGTACCTACAGATCTACATCTTATGAATATTTCATTAGGCTACGAATTTGAAAATAATCACTAGTCTCTGAATTATTGAACTGTTTTTGCCAAAGTCTTAAATTATTTTTCCTGTAATAAAATAAAATGTATTCAGTGGGAAACAAGAGTCCAAAAAGGCAAATAGCAACCTGAGTTCTAACAGCTGAGAGTCCAGCCGTGCTGGTTTTCTTTACGACATAAGTGGTCCACTTGGCTGATAGCAGCAGAGGCTTGGGTCAATACTGTCATTCCTGCCTGCCAGAGCTCTTGACTTCATGCATTCTCTCTTGAATTAACTTGACCGCAGGCTATTTCTCGCAGGGTATAATGAAGAAATTGGCCAAAGTTCCTGCAAGAGGTATAATGTTGATGTGAATTCTTCAAAGCATGTAAGAAAGCTTTCAGGACTGGAAAAGTCATGGTGAACAAAACAAATTTCTTTTCCTTAATATTATAGGAATAAAGGAATCCAAATTTGGGAAGAAATACACGAACAATAATAATATGCTACAGACAGGTGTCAGAGGTGACCATGTGACAGGTCACCACTCATTGAGAATATCTGTGGAATGTGGTAGGTGATGTGATCTGTGTGTGTGTCCACATGTATATAGGTATACTTATGTCAATGTATATTGTATATATGAATATATGACAAACTAGTGGTAATATAACATTATCACAAAGTTTGTGATGTGCTGGAAACTCACACAAGAATATCACACTTAATACTAGAGGAAGATAACACCAATAAGAGGTAAAAAACAGAAAAGTCAAAAGTATTCCCATGATAGAGGGGATGCTGAAAGGGAAATCTCCAGAGAACTATAGAGCTCGTGTTGATACCCAAAAACAAGAATGAGCCAGTTGTACTGTAAAATTGTCTCACAGTTCAACCCCTGCTACTCATGTCGTTGTGTCATGCCCTCCCATCTGAGAGGAGAAGACAGCCATGCTATGCCCAGAATACTGCCCCAAAGACACTGCTATAACATACCCACTTACAACAGTAAGTGCCAAGTCTATAGTGTTTTCGCAAAGCAGTAAACGTAAATATATGAGCCAAAGATTTTGACAAGTTGCTTTCTTCCATAGGAGAATCTCCTTTACCCAGTGTGGTCACCATCCACATGTACTACAAAATATATGTAAGGAAACTTCGTGGGGATCCATGGAGAGACAGACTTTATGTCAAGATATTGCTGAGCAGCACAGCATGAACTGTAGAAGAAGCAATAGCACGCTTGGTAGGTGCTCCTTGTACCCAGAAAGGAGGATGAATTCTGATTTTCTAAAGAAACAATAGCAATTGATATTTTGGGGAACATAAAAGAAAATAGAGACAAACAAGTGAGTAAGAATAAGTAGCCTGTTGTAGATTAGGAGCTTTGGAGAAGGGAGATTCATAGATTCAGACTCAAATCTCAGCTTTGTTCTTTACTATTTCAACTAAGATATTGAGTCTTCATGTACTTATATGAACCACTGAAATAATCAACCCCAAGAATGTTGAGAAAGTGTGCAAAATACAGTACAATTAGGCCTAAATTATAAGAAGTACCAATAAATGTTACTTCTCTTTGTGTCATAAAAGAAGTACATTTTGAGAGATAGTTGGATAGATAGTTAGATAAGTAGATGATAGATAGATAGACAGACATACAGACAGGTAGATAAATAGATTATAGGTAGATAGGATCTTAGTTTGTGTTTTTATTGTTGTGAAGAGACATCTTATAAGAAAATATTTAATTGTGGGGGCTCACTTACAGTTTCAGAGGTTTAGTCAATTATCATCTCGTCGGGGAGCACGGCAGCCTCCAGGCACAGGTGGTGCTGGAGCTGAGACTGCTACATCTTGTAGACAACCAGAAATCAACTGGGCAGTATCCCAAGTATGGGAAACTTCAAAGCCTGCCCACACAGTAATACTTCCTCCAGCAAGGCCATACCCACTCCAACAAAGCCGCACATCCCTATGCGATTATGGAATTATGGGGACCAATTACACTCAAACTAATATAGACAGATGAATAAATTATAGATAGATGATAGATATATACATATATACATAGACATAGATACAGATGCAGATTAGATATGTAGATAATAGATACATACATACACTCATAGATAGATAGACACACTGATAACCCAAATGTGGTCCATGAAGTCTTGGAGGGCCAAAAATGAAGATCTAATTATATATGTTTGAGTAAAACTAACAAGGGAAATGGTACAAGAAAACATAGTGGCTACTTGGAGTATCTTCCAGTAAGTTCAATTTATTTAAGCAAATGAATAAAAAGAAGGGACAGTCACGCCACCAAAGACTTAGAGGAAGAGACAGAGATGCATTTTTAAAATGAACACAAATGTCATGAACTGAGCTTAGCATGACAAAAAGTGCAGAGACAAAAAAAAAAGCCCTATATAATCCGGGTGATGCACGGTGGGACCCAGCAGTTAGGTGGAGGCAGGGGTCAAGCTTAAGCTGCACATTAACAGCCTATTTCCAAACAAAACTTACTATGCTATGTTTGAAACAAAGAAGCAAGAATAAAATAAAAGAATACTATCTTATTCAAAAAGACGGTGCGATATTATCAGGAGGTGTAAAACAAACTGCTTTTGCTTTATAATCATCTTTGCCAAGGAGGATGATCATCAAACAGAAAAGGGAAGAGTAAACACAATTAAGGCATCAAGACTAAGAGTGTTGAGCTGATAGGAAAACTGTGTCTTGGCTCAGGTAATTGCCCTCAGGAGAAAGAATTTGCAAATATAGTTGGAGAGCCACTGTCGGTAATTCTTGAATAATCCCGTGGAACCAGAGAGACCAACGATCTGCAAATGGGTAAAAAACTGTAATTCCTAAGTAACAAACGCTTTCTAATAAAACCGATGGCCAACCAAATTAAGTAGATGGTAGGTGAGCACGCTAAGAGGAAAACAGTTTCACTGGAGCCAACATGGGCTCTCTAAGATGACATTCAGCCAAAGCAGCCTCATTCCTTTCCTAACAAAAGTAATTTCATGAGAAATTAGGAGGTGCTGCAGCAGACCTACGAAATCTGAGAATGAAAACAGAAAGGACTGTTTTATCTTTCGCTTAGGAGAAAGTGGACTAGAGGGAAAAACCTGTATTCAAGATAGCCATGAGATATTAAAGTCACTGTTGTGTCTCTCAAACTTCAGCTAAAATGCATGAGGAAGCTCTTGGGCCACTCATCAGATGAGGAGTTGGTACCTCCCCTTTGTCTCAAGCATCTGTACTTGTACTATTGGGGGGGGGCGTGTCACAATGCATTGCAATGCTCTGGCTAATTGTCCATCTCCCTAGTAGATGGTAAAACCCTCTAGGCTAGGACCAAGTAATAGGTCTAACATCATGTCTCACACAGGTAGGGTGCCCTCCAAATGCTTGCCAGTGTAAGACATGAGTGCATAGAAGAATTTGAAAAGGGAATGTCATGGAGATGTAGCTTCTGTTTTAATACAAGAAAAACATATTATAATTAGGAAATGTTGGGATTTCTTCAAGCATAATAAATTTCTTATTCTGAAAGTATTTGAGGCCTGAAAACTCAATTACCACTTTGAATACCACTTTGTATTCTATACGGTTCAACAGAATGACTTTTAAACTCCCTTTCAACTCTAGCCACAAAGCAGCACCACCATTTATTGTGAAAGGAAGTTGGTTACTAAGAAAAATGAAGATCCACTGCCTCAAAATACCAGAAGAAAATTATCTATGCAGATCAATAAGCTTTAGAAATCTAGCTTATTGCTTGTTTTCTTATGCCTTCATTCATTTTCGGCACTTCCCATCTTTCCCAGAAGAGGGCTTTCTACAGACTGAGTGGATAAATGTTGCTAAACAAGCTGTTTTGTGAGTGAAAGAACAATTAGGATTCCAATCCAACAATTCTGGGTCCCAAGAAAAGAAAACAGCGCTGAAGTTCAGAGGGACATCACAAATGTCACCAAACTCTTTGTGTGCAGAACCAAGTCAGAACAAACTCTAATGCAATTTCACGTTCTCTGTTGTCCTGAGGATTCTACAGAGACATGGAGACAGAAAGCCCGCCGTCTCAGGACAGTGATAGTATTCTAGACATGGGAAGTGTCTCTGTAGACAAAAATGAAATGTTAGGCAATAACTTCAATTTCCAGAGAGATTAGAAAAGAACCAATGAAGATAACACATAGAAGAAGAGGGAAAGAAAACCAGCTTTCACCATAATCACCGAACACCAGGCATGTTTCCTAAATCATGGAAAGACAAAATAGTAATAACAATGTCTTTTAAACTTTGACCTGAAATACAGCCTAAAGTGTACTTAAAGGGCAGAGCAAACATTGAAATTCAGTGTCTATGGCTCTACAACATGAATGAAAGTGGATAAGCAAATGGTAGTCCAAGGAATCAACCTGGGTTATTATTCTCCATTTACTGCACACACACACACACACACACACACACACACACACACACACACACACACACACTGAAGATATTTACATGTATCTGCATATATATGCATAATAAGTTCAAGATGACAACAAATTTGGGAGTCCTATCTTATTTCTCACTGTTGGTCTAAATGGATGTAAATAAAACACTACAGAATCTCAAACCAACATGAACTTGTATTCTGCAGCTACCAGTCAGAAGTGCATAATCAAAAGAAGCATTTATTAGCTATAACTCTCGAATGACAGACATTCTTAATTTATTTTGGTTGATGAAATGGCAACTGGACTGCTGAACTTATCATTTTAAAGAACAGTCAGAAGGTGTCTGCTGGATGGAGGCCATTTTGATGGTATGTATTGTAAGGAACGATCCCACCATCAGAAGCATCACAACCAGGTTTCACATGTTCTGGTAACTGTGAATATTCGTTGGATATTCATTGTTCTATTTGAGTTCAAACAAGAGAGAGCAAGGCTTACCCGTGAACTAGAGGTGAGCCATGTTCCATTGACAAGAGACATGCTGAAGGAAGAAATGAAAATCTGGTGGGACAATAGTTGGTAGTCCATGGGAAGCTAGAGAATTTGCACCCTGGCATTTTCAATTCCAGCAGGGACAGAAGTGACCGATTTTTCCATCCTTACCACCCTTGTGGTCACCCTTCTGTCGGTTTCTAAATGATTCTCTGCAGAGAGTGCTACCTCTCTCTCTTGTCACTTTCTTTTCCCTTTTCAATTTGTCCTCTCCAATCTAAGAGATTTAGCTTTCCAAAATCAAATCCAACCATGTTATTCCTCAGCTACATGTTTGCCTTGGAAGTGAAAACTAAACTTCTGGGAGCAGCCTTAGACAAGTCCCACCCTGGCCCTCTGCCCTTCTGATGTGAATGCCTGACTCTTTCCACCTCACAAGTTCAAATGCAGTAACACAATTTCTCAACATGTTCTCTCATACTCTGCCTCCTCACACTTTTGACATTTATAAACCCCTTTGTCTCAAATGCCTTTTATGAGGAAAGATCAACCTATGCCTTGAGACACCCTTGGAAGGGTGTAGGGTGAAGCCTTTCCACCAGCCTGGTTCCAGAGCCACATCTGTCCCAAATAAACACACAGGAGGCTACATTACTTATGAAGCTGTTGGCCGTTTGCTTGATTTCTAACTGGCTATCTCTGACTTAAGTATTTACTCCATAATTGTTAATCTAAGTATTTCTCTTACCGGAGAAAGGGTCTGGACTTCTTACCCCTATGGCGGTTACATTGTGACTCCCTGTGTTTCTCCTTCCCAGAGTCCTCCTCAACTCCTAGTTCCACCTATCTTGCTTCCCTATTGGCCAACAGTGCTTTATTCAACAACCAATAAGAGACAGATGTACAGAACAGCATCTCCCATCAGAAGGGCCTTCTCTTATACTTCTATGAAGTATAAGAAGTATATTTTCTATCTTCTTTTGCACAAATATCTACCACATCAATACATGTATTTTATTATACTCTTGTTATGCAACTTTCCTACCCAGGAGAGTAAACACATATCAATGTTTTGGGGCTTATTTACCTTTACCTTTCAGGATTACCCTCTGCCTGGAAATGAAAACAAAATCCAGTGTCTCAGTGACGGGTGAGCAAACAGATGAGTCCTCTCTTTCATTAAAATTTGAAGACCTTGACATCTTGGTGGACTGATCACCACTTTTATTTATAACATAGAAATTATGTTTCATTTTTCCACTTTCGCTATACCTCTTATAGGCAGCCCTTGCCTGTCGATCCAAGGTCACAGTCTCCAAAAGCAAGGGACAGGTCCCTAAAGGGAGCAGATGAGCCCTGAATCCTGTGGGGACTCACTACAGCATGAAATGTCAACTAACTAGCAGTTACAAACATCTCTGTTGGAAATAACCTGCGCATGTCTGACGTATCTGTTGAAACTCAAGCACGGAAACTGAAAGGTATCATTTGAAAACACACCTTACTATGTGTCCACTTTAGGGAATGCTTTTAGCCCTCAAGCACCATCTTCTTTCCCTGGGATAAGCCAATGTGTACAATAGGAGAACCAAGAATATCTGTGTGTGGCCATTCCCAAGAGTCCTGACCCTTGTTCATAAGGAGCCAAGAAGAAGAGCTGAAGCTGGACCATCACATGAGATGGTCCAGAATCCCTCCATCATTAAAAGGAACACGTATGAGGGAAAGAAGAAAATTCACATGAGATTCCTGTCATAAAATTAAAGTTAAATCTTCATCTCACAGTTGTTTCTCAGAATGTCAAAAATAGGCACTGATGGTTCTAAAGACTAAATGACTACTGTAGAAGTTCAATCAGATACCATGAAGTAATATATACACACATGCATGCATGCATACACACATACATACACACATCACACACACATCACATACACACATCAGACATACATACACACATGCATATATACACATGTGCACACAGATAAGCATGCATATACACAGGCTCATATATATATACATACATACATACATACACACTCACATACATATGTACAGATGTACACATATATGCATGTATACGAAATGAAAAATAATGTGAGAAGGCATTCAGCATTCTATTTCATGGACATTGTTTCATGCTGATGCAGGTTGATTAACACAATATGGATTGAAGTATGTGTACTCTAAGTAAGAGTGTTCATGTTAAAGGGTGTTTCACTTCCCTGTGAAGAGAATCATTTGATGTAGTCAGGCAGGAAGCTCTGATCCACATCAAAAAGCAATCAACAAACTCTTTGAGTGCATCTAGAAGGATAATTTAGATGGTCTTTAACAAGGATTATGAAAACATTATTGCATGCTTACATGTTTGCTGTTGACTTGTGAAAACTAAAATGACACTCCAAATAGAAAACCTGGACAACACTGACAAAGCCACAAGAGATCTGTGTGCATATAAGGCACAAGCTTATGTCAGTGCACACACAAAGAAACCATCGACACTTTCCTTCAGCGCATCCCCAGCTCTCATATTTAAAAACAGTATCACTACTTTCAAGTTGCTGTAAGAATTCTTACTTACAAGTAGGTTGACATCATAAAGTCCAGCTGTTGCATACATTGCAGACAAATCCTCCCTGCTTTGGCCCTACAGGAAAAAGCAGGGAGCCCCAGCCGCTCTCAGGCAGGTCATGTGTCATTGGTGACCACTGGGAGTCAGCACAGCCATGGAGCTGCACAGCTAAACGATTGTGCACTCCTGGCCTTTTCTAATCCATTTGAAATAAACCTGATATTTATCTATCTCCAATCATCCAATCTGCAAGGCACACACAGAAGGGTAAATCGTTCCCTGTCTCATGGCAAACTACCGAAGCATCCCCTTTCAGGAGAACTGACAGGAAGCGTTCTGCCACACCTATCCAGAGGGTTTTCTTCCCCCAGACCCTTCTAGCTTATTCTCCCAAGCCGAATTTTACTGTTCCCACTATGCAGCCAGAGCTGACTACTGGCCTTATTCAACAATGTGCCCTTCCTAGTCCATCTTGGAAATCATGTGCAAGAGCCTGGGGTTTTGCTTGGAAGTAATTTGGTCACCAGCAAGTTGGCCTCTTTTGTTGGGAAATTCAAAGAGTTGAAGCACTGTGATGGAAGCCACAGTTAGAATGGCTTTCTCTCGGCACCATATGTAATCTGCTTTACTGCAGAACTACAAAGTTGCTGTCTGTGCACACAATTTTAACATTTCTGGTTTTTATGGCATCTTACTTACAGGAAACTCCCAGCTGTTATAATTTGTCTCATCCATTGCTCTCTTGTAGAAGCAGCCTTTGTTCCTTTTCTTCAGTGCCGGGGACTTGCTGGGTTTCACCTGATGTGATTTGTCCAGGCATTAATAATGCATCTTCAAGATGCAAGATGCATGAATTCCTTTAGTAACAGATCTGCTGGCAGAGGGCTGCATCACATTGTACAGCTTTGCTGGGGAAAAAAATAAAAAATAAAAGGAAAGTGAGGGGACAAAGGGAAGGTCATGAGTCTCAGAGGGGGAGCAGTGGTTATTTCAGGAAGTCATTTTCAACCAGCTCGTGGTGATGTCAAGGGCACAGAATGGATAACAAATTTTAGATCGACAATTCCCTTTTTTAAAAGAAAGCTTTTACCAAATTGGAAACTCCTCCCCAGAGATGACAGACTTGAACACACAGATGGCAGTTCCTAGAGTCCTGGGATATAGCTGTCCGTAGATTTTACCTGGTAAGATATCAAAGGCTGTCTTCCATTCGTATATCCTTCTCTCTTCTCTTCCTTTCTCCTTCTCTATGCCAATACACACACACACACACACACACACACACACACATATATACATACATATACATACATACACACATATATGCATATATGTAGTATTATCTTTACTTAAGTGTTTGTATGTGTAGGTATGTGTACAGGAGTACAGTTCCCTTCAAAGGCCAGAAGAGAGAGTCAGATTCTCTGGAGCTAGAGTTGCAGTGGGTTGTGAGTCACCCCACATAGGCCCAAACTCAAGACCTCTATAAGAGCAGTCTATGCTCTTCACCCTGGCCACCTCTCCTGCCCCCTCAGTGGTCTTGATAGCGTCACCCATATGTGTGCTTTTGAGGAGCTGCTGTTTCCAGCTGCTTCATGGCCACACATAAGTGGCTTTCCACAATGGTCCTGAAGAGAAGGCTAGAGTGCTCTTCAAGATAGAATTAAGGGTAAAATTGTGTGGCAAGTTCACAGTGGGTATACATTCTCCACTTGGCATAAAGACGCGTATGGAGGCCTACTCTGCCTCCTAAACCAAATAGCAATCTCTACAATGGTGGCTTGAACAAGTGAAGACAGGACAGGGGACCCAGTTACAACTAACAAGGGACTGGGTCCCTGTAGGCAATAAACCCTGCGAGCTGGTACTCCTGCCTCCAACGAGATGGAGTTTTTAACTCGAGGCTAGCAATACTGCCCATCTTCAGTCTCTAAGGTTTTCTTAAGAGACAATGGATTTACTATATAATGATGAAATCAAGAAGTTCATCCCCAGAAACAGTAGCCTGTGTAGATAGATGATCATTTTACTTCCCGCTTGTATGAGGAATCCTGACAAGATCTGTCAATATACAAGCAAACCAGACTCTCCACAGGGTCATTACCCTGGGTTCACCTGCCTGCTACCCCCATCCTCACCACGGCAGTCTCTTTCCCTCCGCCCCCAAGAAAATCTCATTTAATCAATAACATTTGCTTTCAGGGCGGCTCTCCTTTACTGCTGTTCCATCTCTGTCTGGGTTGCCATAGCAACTACTCTCAGAGCAGTGTGATACTCAGTTTATACATTTCAACCCTGTCACATGACTGACTACCTGCTTTTACTTTAATCATTGCTGGAGGGAACACTCAAAAAGTGGCCGCTTCCTGCTTCCTGTTGCAATCCCACCAACTGCCACTGTGTTTCGCATTTCCTCCCTCCACCCAGAAAATGTGTTAATTGAGCTCTCTTCTGAAACAGAGGGACAGGAAGACTGCCTGCAGGGTGGGCGTGGGGGTGAGAGGACCCAGACCGCTGGGATTAGTGGAGCCCTGAAAGCCCTGTGGCCAAATTCAGCTTTGTCTCTGGAGAGACGCTCTCAGACGTGCAGGGTCTCCCTTTAAGATTCTTAACTGGAAACAAAAATGTCTGACTTCATTCTGGCTTGAGACCCGTCTCAGGCCCCACGATACTCATGGCTTCGTGTAGCCATTTTGTGAGCATCCTGCAAGGCCACACCAGGAACTTGGGAATCTCGGGAGCCTCCCTATTTTTGTAGTTTAAAGGGGTCTGTTTAAATCACATTATAAGCCTAATGAAACATAGCTAATGAAGTACAGATGTCCTGTCAGACTGGGAGATCCAAGTCCCAGAAAGAACACATGAAAGGAGCCTTGGCAAGGGAGACAGACAGTTCATATGCTAGTCCCTCCTGTTTCCCCACTTATGAGTTCACTGCTGCCTCTGCACTGTTTCTACTGTTTCCTCTGCACTGCAGCCTTTAGGTCAGTCATTCCTGGGAAATTCACAGCAGGCTAGATTTGCTATCCTTGGCTTAGGCCCTTGCTTTAGACAGATGCAATTAAAAAGGCCACATATTGAAAATTAGATGCATAAGCTCCCGGTTGTCTTTGTTCTCTTTGTTCTCAAATGGACCCAAGTCCCATGACCTCATGGAAACAGGCAGACCTCTATGATCTGACTTCCCTGTCTGTTGGGAATTGGGTCAGGAAAGCTCTGAAACCAAGGGGTGGTGGCCACTGTGTTCCCTCAGTGCTTGAAGATATCAGCATTACCTCAGCAGATGGACGTGTTCCCAGCAACGATGGAAAGTCACAAAATGGTGTTGCTTCTACTAGAAAGGGGGGTTCAATGGAATCCGGTGTTCAAGCCCTACTTAGGTAAAGCATCCAGAGAGAGCTGGAAACCCCAACAGAGCAGCTGCCCAGTGGTGGATAAGAAAGCACTCTACAAAAAGAGACGATTTAGCTGCTAAGTGTCTGTCACACAAGTATGAGGATCAGATATGACAGAAGAAGGAGGAGGAGGAGGAGGAAGGAGGAGGAGGAGGAGGAAGGAAGGAAGGGAGAAAGAAAGAAAGAAAGAAAGAAAGAACGAAAGAAAGAAAGAAAGAAAGAAAGAAAGAAAGAAAGAAAGAAAGAAAGAAAGAAAGAAGAGAACCAGCTCTGGGAGGTAGAGGACAGTAGGACCCTGAGGCTTGCTGGCCAGCCAGATTAGCCTAGTTAGTTGCCCTGGAAAGACAGGGAGGATAGCCCTAAGGAATGACACCTGAGGTTGACCTCTGTCCTCCTACCTGGTACACACACACACACATACACACAGAGGCAGATAGAGAGAGAGAGAGAGAGACAGAGAGACAGACATGGAGAGAGGGAGAGAGAGGATGGGGGGGGTAGAAAACATCATCTGAAACAAACCGCACCTCTTTCTCAGATTCAGCTGGATGAAACAGCTAAGTGGCTTCTTTGGGATACAGAACAAGAAATAACAGGCCCCTTCTGCCCATAAGAGGCCTGATTCCTCCTCTAACTCAGCCCAGTTCATCTCTTTCTAAGGTATTTGCTTATAGCAATAAGCAGTTTGTGTTAAAGCCAAAGTGGTTCTCTCGGGGAGGTCCTTTGGGGAAACTCTCTGTTTCATTTTGAGGTATAATTTTGAATTCTTAAATTCTCAAAGATGTCTTCTGAAAGGAAAGTGTACATGTTCTCAATTTCCAAGTAAATATCAGGACTGGGGATTTAGCTCAGTTGGGAGAGTGTTTGCCTAGCATGCCAGAAGCCCCGGGTGTGATTCCCCCAGGCACTACAAAAAGCAAGCTTGATGGCACTTGCTCGCAATCCTAGCATTAGAAAGGTGCAGGCAGGAGGATTTAGAAGTTCAAGGTCATCCTGAGCTACATAGACAGCTGGAGGCCAACCTGGCCACATGAGACCCTGCTACAAGCAAACAAGAAAAGTCACAGCAAGCCACAGAGTTCTTCCTTTACAAGACTGGCTGCCACTCTCTGTCACTAAATCAGCCACAGCCCGGGGATAAGACATGTTATACACAGGGAAACTGAGGCACTGGAATGCAGGCCTTTCTAGTCAAAGGAAGCAATAGGGACAGCTCCCAACCGTGTACTTCAGACTTCAAGTTAGAAAGTATTACAAGCCCTAGACATTTTTTTCAAAACAATCAATTCTGTCCATCTTCATAGCTGAAAGATGAATGCTTGAAAAAAGAATATGGTCCAAGAAATTAGAGCTGGGCTTGCGATTATTACAGTTATTTGTCAACAGCAGTGTATGATTTTGGAAAAGCACCAGCTGTATTAGCAAGAGGATAAGAGTGCAGTTCATTTTTCATTTGCCTAATATAGACATCCTTGCCTCGCCAAAGAGAGGGCTAAAAAGAAGCGATAAAGCATCTGAGATTGAACAACATAACCAACTTCACAGAAAATGATTTAAACCTTTCACCGTCTGCTAACACAAGAGATTTTATTGCTGATTTATGTGAGGAGCTGTCAGAACTGTCAGGAAGGGAAATGGCCCTCCAAGAGGGAAAGTTATATGGGCAGCTAAAACCATTTACCTGCCTCTACCTGCTGACCCAGGATGTGTGTGAAGGAAAACGTGTCACAAAAATCTAAACACAGTGACCTACATGTTGACAGAGTAGGTGCTGAAAGACCCAATTGCCTAATGACAAAACAGGATGAGTGCTTCATGGTTCAACAACCTGTTGTCTCAGATCTTCTTCTTCTCAGTTAAGGTGAAGTAGCCAGAGTGGTACTGTCAACCTTGTTTACAGGACAGTACCCACTAAACAGCTGCCCTGAAATCCCTTGGCCTCCTCTTCCTGCTTGCCACTCCAACCAACTTGCCCTCCCATCATCCCTCAAAGAGACTGTCTCTGACAGACATTGAACACCCAGTTATTTAAGATACTGAAATAGGGAGAACTTATCTAGACAATTCTAAAAGCAAAAAGGAAAACCAGTGCATTTGAATCTAAGAAAGCCTTGACAATGTAAGCTATCCTACACTTGACAGAGCAAATGCTTTGAAGCAAATGCTTTAAAGTTTCAGAAGGCTAAGGAGTGACCTTTGCTGAAGTTGGTCATCCTAGCCAGACAGCTATATGTGTGACAGAGAGGACAGTCTAGTAAGGAGTAGAGCCACAGCTTTGTACCCCTACCTTTTGCATAATAATAATAATTCTTCCCAAAGTTAGCATCTGATGGGAATCCTGTATTTGATGAGATTAGATGGATAGATAGATATGTGATAGATGATTATAAATGATAGATGATAGACAGAAAGATGATAGATGATGATAAATGATAGACAGATAGATGATAGATAATTGATAGATGATGATAGATAGATAATAGATAGGTAATAGATAGATAGATGATAGATCA